GTGTGAGGCTTGCGGTAAGGAAGGACTTGAGCCTCCAGATTCTCCCGTCTTACAAGTAGGTGACTTCTGTGCTTGCAGAGGAACACAGTCGGGGCATCCCAGGAAAAGAAGCAGCATGAGCAAAGGCATGAAAGCGCATGGCATGCTCCAGGAATGGTGCTGTGTTCTAATTAGTTCATTCTTTGAACCACCATTTAGGAAATAGATTTGCGAGGTGCCGACCTCAGTTCTGGAGTTACAAAGATGAATAGAACCTGTTCTCTTTCTACACCTAAACAGTCTAGAGTGGGACTGTAAACAGAAAACTTAGAATTCAACCCAGTAAGTACGTAACAGAGGAATGGGAAAGAAGGCAAGCAATTCAGTCAACCTGATCTTTGGGAGAGAATTAGAGTAATGCCACAGAAACCTCACAGGTTTCTCACAAGGCCTGTAAGACCTTGGTTTCAAAGTCTGAGGAAGAGTCTACCAGGTGAAACAGAGAGAAACAAAAGGTTAGGGGTTAACTCTCGGTGTGTCTAAGAGTTGCATTGGGTTTTTTAAACTTGGTGTTTTAGGCTCATTGTTAGAAGCATGGCTGATTTTAGAGTTTTCTGGCTGTTTAGACTGAGTATCCAAGATCTTGCTGCGATAGGAAAGCAGTTTTTCAGACTCTCGAGATGTGTTAGAAACCGGATCGTGGTGTCCACGTGCTGTGGGTGAGCTGTCTGTACCTTGCCAGCCTTCTGCCATTGAGGCCAGTTAGTGTTTTCAGAAGATCTTTCCGATGTTTGGCTCTGTCTGATTTGTAAAGCTGCAATATCCTTTGTCTCTTGTTTTACACAGTTCAAAGAAGGAATGCTAATATTCAAACTAGTTTTTATATTCATATAAAGAGCACTGTTTCAACGGTTTATCCTCAGCTAAATGATGGGAATCTTCAGGATTTTAAATGTACCTTCCACAAATGAGATCTTTCACACTATTCAAAATAGATTTTTCAGTATTCCCATTGTGTATATGGTTACCTTAGGTCAGACTCTGATGGATGTTTTTATTGAGTCAATTTTGTTTCAAATGTCCAGAAAGAATACTCAGAGAAAATGAATGTTTCACTTTGGTCATTACTTCCATTTGCTTTGATAAAGGCAACAGCAACAGATAATACACTTTAAAGATTACACATACACTCACGTACACGTACAGTTTATGTGTGAATTATGTAGGTAGGCAGGTAGAACTGAGCTTAGAAAGCCCGAAGTTAGGAGAGAATATGCACTAATAGACCAGAGAAACTTAACTGGCCAGGAGTGTTGATCTTGGTTTTTTACAGGCCAGATAGCTTTGGTTTTTGTTTCTTTATAATTATAATTGGAGTCTGACCACTTTCAGCAGGGCTAAATCCTTTAGCCATTACCCTCTTCCTTCGCCTTGATTAGTCACTTGAGGGACAGCCATTTTGTCTCAAAGGCCATGGTTGATCCAAACAGAATTCAGATACATTTGTGTGCCTACTCTGTATTCAACTGTAGAGAATGTTTTCCAGGATCTTAACCTTCCTGAAGAAAACTGATTTATGTACCCAAAACACTTTTTTGGGATGTTCAAGAATATGAAAATACACCTAAGGTGATCTTCGGTCACTTTCTGAGATAACGAGTGAGAGTTTTTCTGGAGCAGCAGTGGGGTCCCAGACCAGCAACATAACCGTTACTTGTCAGAAATGCAAATTCATGGGTCCTACCCTAGGCCTACTGAATCAGAAACTCTGGTTGTGGGCCCTTTGATCTCTTCCTTAACAAACCTTCTGCGTGATTCTGGCTCCTGCCAAAGTTAAAGAACCACTATTCTACAGAAATAGGAAACAAAATTAGATAGTTATGTACTAGGTACTTGAAATTACCAGGAATATGACTGCCTGAGCAAAGCATCTGGCCACTAACCTACACCAGTAGGGAGTTGTAAGGTTTAAGAGGGAGGGTGGGCAATGTGATCATTATCTGAGGAAGGCAAACCTAGAAAGTGTGAACAGGACCAGCAGTGAGGTGTCAGGTGATAGTTGTAGAAGTGGGAAGGGTGGTGTGCCCATCAGCTGAAGACTGGTCTGTTCGAGGAAATACGGTTGTAGAGGCTTTTGTATTTAAGACCATGACTGAATAACCAAGATTGAAAAGTTAAGAAAAGCTTATTTAACCCACAGGGATGAACACATATGCAAACATCTCAGTAACTCGCAAGTAGTTATTTATAGAAAAATTACAGAAAAAGTTTTAATAGCCAACTTTCACAGTTGAAAGGTCTCAGTAACTTTAAATAGATTTAAATAAAGTAGCCCTCAATAGGAGTTGAGGCCACCAAGACTCCTCAATCCCTTAGAATGCTTTAGATTGTTAACACTGGAGTCCCTCTCTCAGTTTAACTACCAAGGGGAGGGAGGAAGAGAGAGAGAGAGAGAGTGTGTGTGTGTGTCTGTGTGTGTCTGTCTCCTCATCCCTTGGGGGAGGTTAGAGGATCTAAGGATGTGAAGTATCAGACAGTAAGACTAATGAATTACTGATGACATTGTAATCTAATTGGGAATTTATCCTATGTGTCAAAATCAGGTTTTCTTTGTTCAGCTGAATCTGTAAAGTATAATGGAGCATATAGCACTTAAACGACTTGTCATTCATGTAGAGAAACTTTAGAGGCTAGCTGGAACCAACCTAGTTCAATTCTTTTTAAAAAGCTACTTTTTGGAAATACTCACTCCTTGTAAATGCCCAGTATCAAATCCAGAGCCAGGACTAATTGCGTTAAGAAAAATGTTAATGCAGAGAACTAAATCTGCCCTAAAATACCTGGAACAGAGCTCGCTGCTCATCAATACAAGAAGTGGTTTAGTCCAGCAGCCAAACGAATAGTAACAACCTCTTGTTTGAGGGGTTGAAAGCACTTTTTCATTTGACCAGTCTTAGGAAATGGTCTTTCCTGACCTGCTTAGTGCGGTGTCTGTGGGTGACAAAGAACTGACCCCCAGGAGTGCCAGAGTACTGTTCATGGCATTTCGTCACTCTGGATCTCAGTGACATGTGAGGACATGCCTCATCTTTCTACATGAGCTACACCATTTTTTGTTCCTCTCTAACCAGAATTACTCTGGAATCCTTGAGAAATGGAATCAGGAAACCTTAAAACCCATGGATCTAATCCCTGTCTTGATAGTTGGGTGTGCTGTTACCACCATCCAGAGCCACCATTTTCCAATGAGCCTTTAAATCATTTGGAAATGGAGTTTTAAACAATCAAGGATCCTGTGCTTTTACCATTTTTGTTTCTTTATGAAACAAACAGTAAGCAATAGTTCTGAATGCCACATTGCATGACTAGGTCACAGAATTCCCCATTCTGCCTAGGAAGATGTCCCTTTTGAAGTTCTGTGTTTGATTTAGTGACGGTACACTATTTGTAGAAAGTGGGTTTCAGTATAAACCATAACCACAGAGGTAAATCTATGGTTCAATATATGATCTGACGTACAGGAAGTGTCTGGGTCTAATGATGAAACTTTTTAACTTTCCAGATGACAGAACAAAGGAAGCAGAAACAAAGAATTGGTCTTCTAGGACATCCTCCTCATATGAATGTCAACCCACAGCAACCAGCATAAGCAAGTGAAATAAAGGAATCTTACTTACCTTTTTTAATGATCATTAGTGTGGGTATGGCTAATTAGTTCTGATTCACCCACAAAGATTACAGAATGCTTAGTACATTTGTAAATAATCAGTTTTATACTGTATGTATATGATTGCTACTCTAAAGGTTTGGATATATGTATTGTAATTAGAATTGTTGGCATGATGAAATTTCATTTGTGCCAAAAATATTAAAAATGCCTTTTTTGGAAGGACTAAAGAAAGCACCTGATTTGCACTTGAACCAGATTATAGATTTAAACTATATGACATGTATTTTGTATTTAAAACTAGAATAGCCAGTATTTATGTTTTTTATAAAACTGTGCAATACGAATTATGCAATCACAATAAATTTGTAACTCCTTATTGTCCTAAAGGGAGTGCACATCTTTGAAGCCGGTGTGTTAATACTATGTAATAAATGGTTAAATATCAAATGCTGCTGCCAAAATCATATTAATAGTGAGTTTCAGGCCCCTGGGCATTTTGTACCATGTAATTATCCTGTGGTGATACTGTTTCTCGTTGCTCGTGGCATTAGTGCCTCTAATGGTGACAGTGCTCCAAGTCAGCATTCATTTTAAGAAAAGCAACTTTAGTTTCAAAGATAACTTTAAGCTTCTGAACTGATCATTTAAACTATTTCTTTAAATAAGAGAGCTAAACTAGAAGCTCAGACTTTAGCTTGTGAAGTTAATGAATTTTTTAAAGGGAACCTTTTATGCAACGTTTGGAATAAATGCACACTGCTGGCCAATGTCATCTCCTAGGTGAATTTTGGTGTCACATTATAAAGAGATGAATAATTGATGGTGTCTAGATTATCTAGTCCAAACAGTAGAGTTGATCTTTTTCTTCATCTGAAACAACATGCTACAGTAGCTAAGAAATATTAAACTATATACATCCATATAAAGATGAAATATGATCTATCCCATTAGAACTCATAGTTGAACACTGACATGTTATTCTTATGAAAGAGCCACGTTTCGGTTTTATTTCCTTGTCACATGATTTCTTTCCTTGATGGATGAAAAGTATGAAAGGAAACTTTTATATCTGTCGCCTAGTTTTGTACATGGATCTCATTTTACCAGAGAATCTCTCTGCAAAAAAAAGTTTAAAAATGTACTGAAAGCAGAGTTGTGAAATGAGTCAAGTTTGTAAATGCATATATAAAAATAAATATTTAATGATGCAGAATACTATGCAGTGGTGGACTGGTGGCTTTCCTTTTGGCATTTCTTTGTGTCTTAACGGCTATTCCAATTACCTATTTTCTTTGGGACCAATTTAAAGTAAAACTGGTTTGGTTACCAGATTAATTCAGAAGTTGCTTACCTGATTAGTGAGAACTCTGAGATCTACTTCAACCAACAGCAAGGAGTGCTTAATACGATGTTCATTCACTCTTCTAGATGAGTGACGGCCAACCAGGCTGTCACCAGCAGCAAGCGCCATGGCACCGGACAAGTCAGGCATGTGCTCCGCTGGGGCCCCTGACTTCTGAGCTCTCTCCCGGGAGCGGGGGTCAGGGGGCTTCACCTCGCTGTCAGCAGTAAAACAGTTGCAGCATGCTTGCATTCACGTCCAGTGGCCAGAGTCCTGCAGTGAGACCGTCAAAAAGGTTTCACAAAGCAAACTCATCTATCCGAAGGTGGTAAGACTTGTTCCCTCCTCACAGGGGTGCCTGCCCAGGTTGCGCTTTTACTACAAATTCTCTCTATGCTTTGGTAAATAAGAGCAAGTACCACCCAATGTTGGGAACTGGGTCAGGATTAAAATCCAGACAAATGACTAGTTTCATAACCAATGCTTCCACTTTATAAATTTGATAACTTAAGAAAAACAGTGAATAATTGTCCAGTCCATGCAGTGTATCTCCACAAAACTGTTCCATAATAAGGCAGGCCCAAGAGAGACCCACACTTGAATCTGTAAACCAAACAGCCATCTATGCCGAATCCCACCACGTGTGCTTCAGCCAACAAGGACGTGCTTTTCCTTGGGTTTCTCTTTGATCAGTCACGCTGCCCGGCACAACGTGGCAGTGTGTGTGGTTTGTCTCCCTGGTCCCATCCACTTCAGCGGAAAACTCTGCATTGACATGTCCAGGTTGCAGCTTTTACAGGTTTGTCATGTTTCATCTGAATCCTGTCACTTAAGATATAAATCTTCATTCAATTTGCCAGCTTCAGCAGAAAAGAAGTGGAATTGGAATGCCACTCCACCCTCTATATGATAGATCCCACCCTTGGAGTTTGGGCGTGAACACGAAGCTAGTGTAATTGAAACATAAAATCTGAAGTTAAAACTTACATGGCCTTTGATGTGTAATTGTGATTTTACCTTTCTCCAGAAGTTCCTTTTCAACATTTCTATTTCAGTGATCGAAGTCCAAGTCACCTTCAAAGTTGCCTCGTGTTATCAAGCTGAGTAAAAATGTGGTAATACACTGTTAATATACAAGAAAGCCTTTTTGGCTTTATTTAATTGTCAAAGTCTGCTATAGCTCCAACCCAAATTTCAAGATTTTGCCCATTTTCTTAACTAAACCATTTGTTAAGTCAAAGGGTCTGAGAAATTCCCTTACACTTTTCTAACATTTACTGCATCTTGACCTTTGCTGCTTCTGTATAGAGAGCCATGGTGATAAACCTTCTTTCCCCCTAAATAAAGAGTCTACTCTTTGCTGGGTCCTAAAGCTTTAAATGATATTCCATCCCATAAAATTTTTCTTAGAACTCTGTTCTAGTCACCCCACACACGTACAAAATGCAACTTCTTTTATTTCATTCTCTAAAAATTTTTTTCAACTTAATTGGTTTGTTTCCAAGTTCACGATCCTTATTCATTGTTCTTCACTCAGCCAGTTTTTTTATTTGGTTGTACTTTCTGAAAATGGATTCCTTGAGTGGGGTCTTGTAAAAACTGGTCTTGCATCCTGTTTAAATATTTCCTACCATCAGTTACAAAGCAAGCATGCTTTATTTCTGGAAACTAACCAGCAACACAGTCCATGCAGTGGAGCAAACTGAACAAAGCTTTACTTATGTGCTGGTGGGAAATCATCAAGACCTTCACAGTAAACTAAGGAATTAACCTGTTAAAAACTCAATTTTAGATTTCTCTATCCTCCTACTGAGCCTGATAATGCATTAATGAGAAACAGCCTGAACGTTACTGACAGTTATTTTAAGGCTGACTTCTGGGCTGCATAGATGGAAATTTACCCCTTCAAAATTACTAGATACAAAAGGGGCAGAACTACATACTCCTAAAAGTCGAGTTGGGTTTTGCTAAAAGAATGTTTTTACAGATTCTAAAAAATAAAATATGTGCTTGATAGAAGATGTCAATTTTATGGCAATAAAAGTCATCTTTACATAACACAGGATATACCCAAGGGCTCCGGAGACAATATGCTGTATCTACCAAACCATACAGCAGGGGTGATACTTTAATTATAAAGATAAGAAACTGAAACTTGGAAGGGTGCCTGGCTGGCTCAAGCAGTAGAGCGTGCAACTCTTAATCTCAGGGTCATGAGTTCAAGCCCCATGTTGGGCCAAGTGATTACTTTAAAAAAGGAAAAAGAAGAAAAGAAACTGAGACTTAGGTAAAGTAATTGGCCTAAGGACTCAGCTCCAGAATAAACAGAGGTAAACACAGAAAGTGCTCTTCCCACTTGCTACCTGTCTTCCAGAATGGGGCTGCAGTATCTCATCAGAGTTCAGTTCCCCAACGGTTCTCCCTTCACAGAAAGTTCTTAGGGAGCACTGCATTTTGTCCTACAATGCCAAGTGATTTGCTTTTCTTTTCACATCTCTTTTACAAAGGGATCTACAAATTAGAAAGTATTGAATATGAATACTGTGTCGACTGAAAACTGTGGCAAAGAAACTCCTAAAATCTCTTTTTTACAACTATAGGTCTCATGTCAATATCTCTTACTTAGCTGCGTTTTTCAAAAGGAGAATCTGTTCTCTCAATGAACGTGGCTTCCTCCAAGTGAAAATACTCAGATATAGACTGGCATCCTATCTCACCACAGAAGTAGGTGTTTATTAGCAAACCCTTCTGTGCTCTTGTTCAGTATACTGATAAGTTGCTAACAATCAACTAGAATGTTGGAAAACCCCCATCAAGATTTCAATTTTACAGAAAGTACCCAAAATTCCACCAGTTTTGCATCACAAAGTAGTGGTTAAAGTAAAGTTTTGAGTAAAATGCCATGTGTGTGGTTTTTGTGGGTGGTTGCAGCTCAAAACGACTATTAGGCCTCATCAGTTACCTATTGGGGAAAGCGATGATGGCAACTATAAATCAATTATGATCAGAACATTTTTCCTTCTTTGGTATTCTATACCACATTAGCAATTCTTGCAGCCTGGAGGCAATTCAGAACCATAACTAGCCTAGTCTGGACCCCAAATCCTGTCAAAATAAAAAGGTAGATCCCTGATGAGTTTTGACATTTGGTCAACTCCAGCAATGTTTATGGAATATGAATTCTCCAGGTGCTGGTATTTTAAACTAATTTGGCAAAACAAATCTCTAGCTTACTGGGGCACTACATTAAAATAAAAAAAGAAAGAAAGGAAAAAAGAAAAAAAAATTTACCAAAGGAGAAACCTAAAATACTTTAAGGTCATGACAAACCAGTGTGAAAGAGAATCCTAACACCTAGAAGTGAAACTGCATCATCCACCCAGCCTGGAAAGAAAAAAGAAAGCTAAAAACCACTACAGAATAAGAATGCAGAGTTTGAGAAAACCCCTAAGGTGAATTCTGAACAACAACAAAAAAAAGAGCCCCCAACCTAAGAAGTGCATACTGTATGCAAGAACCGCTAATGGAAAGAGTTCGCCAGCACTTCTGTCCTTACCTCACCAAAGATGGTTGGTCCCATGTAAAGAATGGAACTTTCAACAATCCAGGAATGTAACTGTTCACTCCAGACCTCAAGTTATTTCAGCCTTTTTCACATGCTCGTCAGCTGTAGCATCTGGTCAAGTCTTGTCAGAAGCGTTCTGTAAACGTTCTCAGGAAGAAAACGATGGAGACGTGGTGTGAAACTGGGACAAGGAGCCCCGAAGCACACAAGGCTTGGAGGCTAAGCACAAATTTATTCGGAGCCCACATGGGGACGGTGGGATGAACACAACAAGGACCTTGACGTTGGTCAGAGTCTTCGCAGCAACTCTACCACTTCAGCGCTATGACTCTGAGCAAATCCTTAAATCGGTGTAATTGTCACCTCCCCCCAACCCCCATCTAAAGAATGGATGTGTCACCACTTTACTTCTTTGGACAAGAACGAACATTAAAAACAATGTATGTCGAGTGTCTAGTATATATCCGACACATGCTGTTTCCTGTTCCTTTGCAACATAATCACTTCCTTTTTCTCATACCTATCCATAGTCTCAGCTAAATATTAAATGACCAAAGCTGCTTTCTGTTCCTACTCAATGGGCCTGATAATACCATGGGATCCTAAATTCTCACGTCTTAACATGAAACACTGGGGTCATACTGAGCCATTTTCTCAAACTGTATCTCTAACATCCAAATGGTGTTTTAACTACCAGTCTGAACCGAATTTACACAGAAAAAAAAAAAAAAAAAACTATCATAGCTCATGACTTCCAGATAATTACTCTTAATATTCATGATCAGTGTTGAATTCAAATCTGACTTTTCAAAATATTCTTCAAGGAAAGAGTTTTTATCTTCTGTATGATCACGTGTTTCCCCTCTTTATGAAGTGCCTTCACCTACATCCGCATTTACACCTTCCAACCTTGGTCAGTAGATTATTCTCCCTGACATCTGCATGCTCCTAAGTTATACTATCTTTCATTTAACATTCAAATGCATATTTTAGAACAGATCTCACATAACTGTTGGGGCCCAGCACTCTCCTTAATAATTTCAAGGATCCGGGCCCCCTGGGTGGCTCAGTCGGTTAAGTGTCCGACTTCAGCTCAGGTCATGATCTCACGGTTCGTGGGTTCGAGCCCCGCGTCGGGCTCTGTGCTGACAGCTAGCTCAGAGCCTGGAGCCTGCTTTGGATTCTGTGTCTCCCTCCCTCTCTGCCCCTCCCCCACTCACACTTTGTCTCTGTCTCTCTCTTTCAAAGATAAACAAACATCAAAATTGTTTTTAAAAAATAATTTCAAGGATCCTACAGAGGGTGCTAAAAAGTTCTCAATGATTCCTTGTTACTTTTGATCCTAAACCCCAACTGCAAACCAATTCTCATCATCTCCCTTCTATTTCACTTCACCCCTAATGCTGACATAGCCCTCCCTGCTCAGTCTCCAAAACACATAAACATTTGGGTGTCAGGCAAGCACATCTTTGCTGGACAAAGATTATAACAGCGAATAGGAAACTACTTAAAATAGAGAATCAGACATCAAAGCTCATGCCCCCTTCCTTCTCGGCCACTGGAGGAGCAACTTCTCATGTCTACTCTACTGCTAGGGCCCACTCTCTCACCACTCCTGCCCGGAACAAAAGAAAAATAAAATTCCCTCCAGCCTCAATTAAAAACAAAAAATTATTGTTTTTTTATGCAGAGCAATTTTAGCCCCCAGGTCCCAACCACTCCTATATAAATTAGCCCTTTACCTTGACTAAACTAAAAAAAACAAAAACAAAAAAAACACAACAAAAAACCCAAGAAAAGAAAACTATAAATCGATTGTCCTTAGCTTCCAACTCAAAAGGCAACTAACTTTTTAAAATAGCATTTTTTGTTGGGAGGAGCACTAGGTATTGTATGTAAGTGATGAACCATGGGAATCTACCCGCAAAACCAAGAGCACACTGTATATGCTGTATGTTAGCCAATTTGGCAATAAATTATATTTTTTTAAAAAATAACGGAATTTTAAAATAGCCTTTTTTCCTTCCTGTACATCCCTATCTTATAGAAGAAAAATAATCAGTACAGAAAGGTCAAGCAATATGGCCAAACTACAACATCAGAACTGGGAATCCAGGGCAGATCACAGACACACTCTTCTCCATGCCCCTGCTTCACCGCACTAGGTGCAGGCCGGCTCATAAGGTGCTGGGGCCTCCACTTCTCCCCTGCCCACCTGTTTGGGGGAAGATCTCCACACACCAGATACAAATCCTAAGAGACACAAAGGAAAGTAAAAGTTCTTAAGGGTCAGGGCTGCACTAGTTCATTTCTGAATCATAGGTATCTAACACAGGGGCTCAAAACATTGATGGGGGAAAATTTTCTTTGCAAATCTTCACAAATCTGCTTGATGGTTTCGGAGCCCAGGCCAATTAGGAGTCTTTCAATAAAGAAGGACTATCTAGCAGTGGCCCAAAGGGAGTTATATTTAGAACAAACTATCAGTCCCTACTCCTGCTGCTGCTAACTGATCCTTTAATCCTACAACTAGCCCATTTATCCTAATGCTTTGGCTCCAACAGTCCCTCTTCACAACTCTAAACCAACTTCCACTGCTCCCCCTAATCAAGTAACCCCATCTCTCCCTTCTTTCAAATTCTAACAGGTTAAAGTGATTGTGTGGTCTCCATGAAGGTATAAATACAGACTCACGTGTGCTCCCACACTCCTCTCTCCGCCAAACCCCCGTGTCTAAGAACCCTATAAGACACACTTCCTCCACAACCCATGGACTGCAGCAGTTCTCAGATTATCCCAGAAGCGACAGAGCACAATTTAGGTAATAGAAGGAAATTATGGCCATTTTAGGTAACAAAGAATTATGGTTCATTTACATATGAACATACATACAACATGAACGAGTCTCAAAAGAATTATGTTAAATAAATGAAGTCATATTCAAAAGGCTACATTCCTGGGGCGCCTGGGTGGCTTGGTTGGTTAAGCGTCCGACTTTCGCTTAGGTCATGATCTCGCGGTTCGTGGGTTCGAGACCCGCGTCGGGCTCCGTGCTGACAGCCAGCCCAGAGCCTGGAGCCTATTTCAGAGTCTGTATCTCCCTCTCTCTCTGATCCTCCCCTGCTCACGCTCACTCTCTCTCTCTCTCTCTCCTGAAAATAAATTAAAAAAAAAAAAAAAAACCAAAAGGCTACATTCCTGTGTCAGTCCAGGTATATGACATTCTGGAAACAGCAAAACGACAGGGACAGAAATCAGGATCAGTGGTTGCTGTATACAGGAAGTATGAGAAGGAGATTTATTACAAAGGGACACTAGGGAAAATATATTAGGTGACGGAAGAATCTTCCATGTGTTGGTTGTTACATGACTACATAAGCTTTTCAAATTTCATAGAACCATTAAAACAGGTAAATTGTACCTTAGTAAACTTGACTGAAAAATTTGTAAAAAACTAGTTGGGGGGTGGGGTGGGTAAAAGGGCCAGGTCCAAGATTTTGCAGCTTTCTTTTTTAATGTTTACTTACTTTTGAGAGAGAGACAGAGAGACAGAGAGACAGAGCATGAATGGGGAAGGGGCAGAAATTCCACAGAATCTGAAACAGGCTCCAGGCTCCAAGCTGTTTGCACGGAACCCAACGCTGGGCTTGAAGCTACAAACTGTGAGATCATGACCTGAGCCAAAGTCAGATACTCAACCGACTGAGCCACCCAGGTGCCCCAAGAATCTGCATTTTTCATTTGCTCCCCAGGTAATTCTGACGCAGGCTGTCCATGTCCAGAGTCTGAGGAGCACTGCTCTCATGTGGGCTACATCACAAGACCTTTCTCCTTTCTGGCACATGCAATGTGCACACTTTGGGAACAGAGTATCATTTGACAGAGTTGAGTAGGAGGGTAAGAGCAAAAAAAGTATGCTCACTGGGGAGCAGTGTGTGTTACTGCTTACAAAAAACTGTGTTCCAGAACTTGCAAATGGATAGTCCCATAGTTATGCTGCATTCATTTTCTACTGCTGACCTAACATATCACCAAAAAGTTTAATGGCTTAAACAACACACCTATACTTCTGGCTGGCTAAGTCTGAAATGGCTCCGAAGACTGCTTCTAGACGCCTTAGGTGAGAATCCACCTGTTTGCCTTTGTTGCTTCCAGAGGCACCCCAGTTCCAAAGCTTGTGCCTGGCGCCCATCTCCAAACCTAAAATGGCCAGTTGGGTTTTCCCATCTCAAATTCCTCAACATAATCACATCTGCAAAAACCCTTTGCCATGTATGGTAACATATTCATAGGGTTCAGGCATTAGGTTGTGGACGTCTTTAAGGGGGCCGTTATTCTGCCGACCACATATGCCTAAGCAGAATCTACGCAAGCACTTAGGTTTAAGACAAGAACAGCAAATCACCCATCTGTTTTCAAGCTTAACTGATTTGAATACAATTAGGAAGATCACATTTTCTTATGGTCCAAAAAGGCTAAAAAGTCAGTTCATTAACATGATCACAGAAACTGACAAAGCCTAAGATGGGTATGTTGCTTCCTTTTACCTTCACTATTGATACTCTTGGACAAACAGAACTCTACAAGAGCTGTGCTTGCGTTTTCAGACACACACCATCTTATTTTCCTCAGTTTTACTTGTGAGGATTAGTACTTTAAAAATAAGTAATACCTAGTTAAATTTAAAAAAAAAAAAAAAGAGTGGACCATAAACTTCCCAGTCAATACCGTTTGTTGAGGGGGGTCAGGAAGGAAGGTAATACCTGGATAAGATTTTTAAAATTTAAATTATATGCCATCCTCTTCTTCATTGGTATCTGTACAAATATTTTGCTTACTATTTTATTTCTTTTACTATTACTGAATTTTTAAAGTTTCATTTTTTTTATATTCTGGTTGCCAATTCTTTATCAAACGTATGTTTGGCAAATACTTGTTTTCCTGGTCTCTGGCTTGTCTTTTTATTTTCTTAGCACAGCTCTTCAATGATCCAAAGTTTTTAATTTTGATAAAACCTGTTTATTTTATTCTTTTGTGCTTCATGTTTTTTGTGTCCTAAGAAATCTTTGTCTAAGATCCCAAAGCTTCTTCTCCTATGTTTTCTTCCAGAACAGCAGTGTACAATAAAGCTTTCTG